TATCGGTTGTGGTGGCCTTTCGTTGTAGTCGGTCCAATAAACTGGGCGGACGATATCGAGCGGCGTTACTTACTCCTCCGTATTCCCAAGAGTGTCATCGTTTTATGACTTTTTTATTCGGCGCGACGCGACGCCCGGAGAAATGCAATACCATTCCCGATTCTGATCTCCATGCCGATAGTAAAGTGGGCATGATATAGACGATGTAAATGAATCATTTGGACCAATCACAGATCGATAAAATCGTGTAAGCAGTGTTCAAGCATGCCAGCAGCAAATGATATTTATAATGGCAGTATCATGCGTATTATAACAATTTTGCCTAAGTATAAGAACATTGAGTATTATTTATTTTACAGCATATTTCACAGAGTAGTCATAAGCAATATCTAAATCTGCAAAAAATAACAAATGTGGTTGTAGTATAATATATGCGTGTGTTGTTTTTTGCTAATTGTTGCTGTAGTGAAATCGGTAAAGGAAATCATAAGTCAAAAGTTTTATTACAATTCTATTCATATGAGATGACAAGATGACAATTTATATTATAACGAGACATCGAGAAATACATTAATTCACGACTCTATTGCCGATTCACACTTCTTTGAATGAAATCAATATTTTCTCATATCATACGGAATATAATGTGTTACACGGGAGGTCTTTTCTCAGGTGTTTGTACGGCACGAAATATACATAAATAAAGATATTACCACGGGTGTATACTTGTCACCTTCGGAACTTGTCGAAAAAAACATAAAAAGGACCTCATTCGAAGTTTATAACTTTATAAGGGCCCTGCGTGTGTGTGCATAATGGATGCAAGAACGATCAAAGTCATTGCACCAATTGTACATGTCCACACGAGAGGTTGTATCGTAAAAATGCATTGTGAAAAGAAAATATTGTTATTGTGGCGGGCAAAAGAAGTGTTTGATTGATATGTTGCGTCTGGCGCCCGCAGGACACATCGCTTGCGACGATCAAAGTCAGAAGACGTCGTAAAAATATTTACAATATGTCCCCCACAAATGAAACATCATGCTTGGTACAACGCTATGCCATTTTATTTAAGACTAGTTCGCCGGGATTGCGGGGATAAATTTTAATATTCCACAAAAACAATCACTTGAAGGCTTCATACTTCTGTTAATGTATGAACCCTTTAGTTCATTTGTAGTTTACTGATTTATTTTTCCCTACACGTATACATTAGTTAAAATTTTAAAAGACAAAGGAAATATGAAGAAACGAAATCATTAAATCATAAATTTCAAAAAACTAATAGAGAGTCAATATCAAATTACGAGTACAAATACCGATTGCCATTACGGTAATATCCCTTTATAACTCAAAGTAAACAAAACTATCGAAATTTATGAGCGAGATCCCGACGAATAAAGGAACGGAATCAAAGCGCCACGGAAACCGAATAAAGGAAATATTTCTTAGACGAAATGAAAAAATTCAAAAGATGGAGAGATAAAGGCGGTCATTCACGGTGCACGGTAAGAGGCACCCGCTGTTTTATCAAATATGAGATTAGTCCTTTATGAGTCGTAGCCGTTCCTTTATAAGGGACAAATATTTTGACACGCTGCTAAGCAAACACACGGCAGATGTGTAACGGGATTAAGGTCAAATCCGTACGCATAATTACACATTAAAATATACCCTTATCTCAAGGGATAAAAGGAGTACAAATACAACGCATCATTTAATTTCAAGTCTTACTTTATCTACATCTCACTTAGCGCAACCAAAATCCCGCTTTAAACCCTATTTGTCTTCATCTTAGTAGATCTTCAAAGGAGCCACCGCAGCCGGTTATTATCATGAATTGATTTATGTAAACGTAACGCTAACATTCCAATTTCTAAATCTAAGAGGACTTACATACATTGAATTTGGTATAAATTACCTAACAAAATCTAATTATCCAGTTTATAAAAAACCTGCTAATATCGTAACTTAAAAAAAAAGTTGAGGTTTTAAAAAAACACAAAATTCATATAATAAAGGAAATCTTTCTTTTCTACAATTATGACGACCATGGTGGTATGGATTGAATGTGAACCTCTATTGTTGAAGTAACAGACTTTAAAAGATTAAAGAATCCATTGAAGAATTAAAATTAAATTACGATCAAAGGGAGGTTGGATAATTGCATAAATGCATATAAAACAGCTGTGTAGTCCACAGAGCAGAGGCACGCACGTTATCTCACATCGGCCTGTGACCGACATAGCAACGTACCGAAGCCACAATCCAATAGCGATCCAAGCCTATTGTCGACGACACTCAATTCGCACTGATTAAATTCTTTACCCCAGCTGAGTTAGAAAATTAAATCTCTAACACGAAGAACAAAGCTTTCTTACTGTTCTTTTTTTATTTACCTAATATATTACTAGTAAAATTTTAGTAGGAATAATAATAATTGGAGCGTTTGACACACATTATGTTACAGAAAAAAACGTGCTTTTTATAAGATTACATATTGACTTAAAATTTATTTATAACGATTATTTATAAATGAATTTTATCAAAAGTACGAATTTAGATTTCCCATAATTTGTTAAAATGAAGATTTAATACAAAACATATGTTCCCTATTAACACTGTAATTACCTAATGCCTCGCATTTTATTACTTTTACACAAAAGCCATTTTCATTGTTTACTGACACCTATAGAACAAAGAATTTTAACTACCAGCAAATAGACATAGTTCATGTTGATATCAAACTTTTCGAATAAACAGCAGTTAAAATGATTACAAAGAAAACTCAGACCGGAACTTTGAAAAGCCATTTTTTTTCATTATACTAACGTTATTGTTATAATATAATCTTACGAATATTATAAAATCGAATGTTTTGACTGATATATGGATTAATGGATTTTTGTTTAAAGATCTCCAGAACGGTTAAACTGTTCCCGATGAAATTTGGCGTACATATAGAACCTAGTCCGTAAGGACACATGGGCTACTAATTAAGTTTTTTATTTTAACTGCGCGCGGAGTCACGGTCGACAGCTAGTACATAATAAACAACATTTGGATAAACGAAGGTTTTGTTTTACTAAATTACTTGATATGTTGTATACAATGAGACTATTTAAAGGTCAGGCTTACAATATCCATCACTTTTGATGACAGTTCGATTTAAGTGTACAGACGCGATATACGACGAGCTAGTACAGCATTAATTAAATACATGTGGACTAGTTTTGATAACTTTCAAGTAAAAAAAATATTCATCCTCTTAGAACTTACGATGAAGATGACTTCTCAGCCGTTATCGTACGTATCCTATCGTAATATGGACTCAATATGTCTCTTTAGACTTCATACCTGATTTCACCCTCTTCTTAAACATATCCTTGTATGTACATACTTTCTTCATTTCTTCCATCAATACTTTCTTCAATTTTGTAGCCAAACATTCATACTAATTAGTCAAAAGGCATCTTTCCCGACGAGACGAAAATTTGTCAATTTTTCTTACAATTAACTACTAACTAACCAAAAATATAATCGATAAAAGACATCTCTAAACAAATTCACAGAAATCGGCAGTGAGTGAAGGGAATGAAGACAGAGGAGCGGGGGGTTTAGAATGTTTGTCGTGTAACTGTGGTACGGTGGAGTGCGAGCCAAGGCACAGGCAAGCAACTGACAGTTATACAAACAAGCATTGGGCGACTGCACGCCGATAGTGCATCTCATTGTCGATACAAGCCACTAAAGCCTATAATTGAATGAAAAAATTCGCTTTCTCATTCCCAAAAAAAAAATTTTTCCATTGCCAAGATATGGGCTAAAAACAATTGGTGTAGTCGCAATTTTGACGCATTTTATACATTGATCAGGATAGTATACACGTGGGGAAAAAATCTAGAAAAGCATAGAGTCTTCTTTGTTTAATATTAATAAAGGTCATATAACTAATAATGTATAACTTTTTAAATGTTGACGCGATTCCTTTGATTTGCTGTTTTACCACGAGATTTCCAATCTTGGTTACATTTCAAGGTATCTTCGAAAATTATTTTAATTATATAGAAGTGTTCACACCTTAAATTGTTTATTAGATATACTCTCACATTTATTGTGCCGCAATTAGGGAAGAAATTTATGATTGCCCACTTGCTTTACTTTCCAATCTAAATAAAGAAACAGATTATTGAAGTAAAGTCTCAGAAACCAACCGTTAGTGTTAACTATCTAAATATCTGCATAAAACATGTTGTCATCCCAGTCATCTTTGACAAAACCAAAGTAACATGTTTTAAACGGAAATTATGGCCTCAGAAACCCACGGTAACTGACGAAAAAGTACTGTAGATTAGATTTCGCCGAGGCTAGATATAGTCTAAATAAACACTGTCTACAATGAAGCTGTGTAAAATCATTGTTGTTGTAATCTTGTTCTAAAAATCACACGTTAAAAACATAGAACAAGTGGAGACATCTACTGCTAAGCTTAAAAACTATTACAACATGCAACAGTAGAATAATGCTACTTTTCAATGATAGGTGGCAGTGTTCCTTCAAAAGATAATTTTTTGAGATACAATTATGCATTACATTGACATAATGACTGTTGAAATTTTTACCTTAGAATTTTGAAAATATGAATTTGATTCAAACTAGTAATTAACTAGCCTAACCTTCAACCTCAAACTTAAAAATTGGTCAAGTCGTTGATGATCTAGGGGTCACATATACTCTTATAACTATTCTACCCTGTCCTGTTTCAATTGGTAAACTCGCCTTGCCACTCACGCATCACCCTGACAACCCGGTTATTTAGTCCAAGCTCTTGATTCTTTCAATGTGTTTTATTCCAATAAATAGGAATATATGTGTATGAATCCCTCAAAATCATAAGTGGAAAGCAAGTATTACCATTCGTGTGGAATCAAAAAACAATACATATATCTCTTTGTATACCTTACACGTGTAATATTCATAATATAAAAAGATTGACATACCCTTTTTAGAGGTACTTTAAAGCAAATAATTCTTGTGCCTTCTATGACTTTTCCACATGCTTTATATTGCAACCATCTACAACAATAAATAAATGTAATGTGTATTAACCATATGAAAAAGTTTCTGGGTTTATTTTCAAATATATTTGAACTCATACCTATCGGGGATTCGTCCAGCCATTTTGCAACCTTAAGAACTTAGTTAAATCTTACATTGCACACCTATAGATTCTAATGTTAACGTTGCCAACAACAATAATAATTTACACTATATACAAGGACAAAATTGTGTTATTCGTGCGTTTCAAAAATATAACCTAAAAATTATTGTAAATAAGACGTTCTGGAGACCATAAAGATACGAGTCGTCAATCAATAGATTGCAAAATGTCAACAAAATTCAGATAACCATAGACTAAAAATATAATAGTGAAAATCGATTTTTTTCTCAATTTCCTCCTTAAAGTAAGGGTCATTTGTCTGGCTAACCATCACAAAATTTAGGTATATTTAATAGAAATCTTCAATCTCCAAAAATTTACGTTAATTTCAAACTACCGATGCTGAGAGAAAACAAGCCGTTTTAAAACACAGATGTATGATAACAGCAAAAATCTTTTCATAGAATGGTAACATTACACATAGAATGTCAAAGTTGAACATTGTTATTTTTGATAAGAGATTGTGTTTTAGCTTTGTAGTTTAGGTCTTGCAATTTCAATAATCATAAATATCACAATAGTAGTGTAGTAGCGAAGTACTTTTGTTATAGCAACTAAGATGCAACGAGCATGTAAAATATAGGTTAGGTTATAATTTGTATTTTGTAGTGTGATAACAGTGGTTTCCATAGAAACAATATGAAACGGCGAACATGTTTAATCGAATGCATGGAAACTGTCAAGGATCCATTTTTCACAGGTTTTGAAAAAAGAATTAAAGAGAACGTTTATATTACCGAACATACCAATATGATTTATAAAAATACAGCTTGGTATAAATCTTTATTGAATGCTGAAAAATCATGTATAAAAGATAACAAAATAAAGAAGATACATTACAAGTTTGAAGATGGTCGTGAAATGGTTGAAGAGTACAACATAGATACCCAAGTTTTATTGCGTAGATCTTGGAAACTAAAAGGGAAATTAGGAGGTGAAGGTAAATGGCAAGCAGAGATTGGTGATCCTATTCCTGAAGTCAGTGCTAATGTTGAAGTGGCAGATTTAACTGAATGTAAAGACCAGGTAAATATTATTTGTAAAGGATTTAAAGGCTTAACTGAATGGTAAATCACATCAATCTATTTTTCTTTCAGCCGATACTCACAAGGCGGAATACAAGGGTAAATTTAGAATGGAGAATAAGAAATTTACCTTACCCCATAGATACCTATTCAATTAAAGTTGATAATGATAATAAATGCATTATTGTAAGCACAACAAATAAAAAGTATTACAAAAAACTAGAAGTTCCAGAACTTCAGAGATTAAATTTACAACTGCAACAAGCTAATGTCCAATCTTCTCATAATTTTAACACCTTGATTATTTCTGTAAGTATTAATATTATACTTTGATATATTTTTCATTATTTTATGATAAATAATACTATTTGGTTCTTTTCAAATGTCTTGACAGCCCAAGGTCATAAGTACACTGTGCAGTGCCCTTCCCACTAAATCTAAAAATTTTCTGCACAGCAAATCAGTTAAGTAAATAACCTCCAAGATATCTGAAAAATTTCAAGCCGATCGGAGGATATTTATATATACTAGATCTTGAGGGTTTTACTGATTCCCTAGTTTTATAATTTGTTGTATTACTCATACCTTGTATTTTATTATTGTATAATTATTTCAGTATAAGAAACCGCAGCCATTACTTGATATGGAAAAAGAATGGTTTGAAGAGCTGAAGAAAGTCAAGCCTATCAAGGATATTCCAAGTGAATGTAATACCCAGTAAAGATAATTGTATAGTTTTATTGTATAATTTGCATTTAGAATTCTATTAAAAGTTATAAATTAAATAAAGCTTGTATTTCTTACGATTTATTTACATGTTTCATGTACAGTCAGCGTCATATAGATCGTCACAGACAAGATATGCAAATATATAGGTACACCAAAAGTAATCAATTATATCGGTACAACAAAAGTCCTCAAAATAATAGATACATTCACCCTGCTCAAAAACATCGGTACATACACAGCGTCAAATATATGAGTACATGCAAGATGCTCATAAATATCGTAGCAGCCACAGCGTCATAAGTAACGAAGCAGTCAAGGTGCGCAAAAATATCGGTACATTTGACAAAATTGAACTCTATCTCTATATACTTGTGATACAATTTGGAATAAACTACTTCTGTTACATTCATTTGACACTTTGTTTTAACATTATAGGTTGTCCGGAAAGTTCGTTCTGATTTTTGATATAAAGCTTACAATAGACTGTAGCTGAAGTAGATTCATTTTCGGATTTCCACCATTATTAAACGTAACAAAAATTTCTATATTGTGAATAATTTCATTTCATTGGTTGAGATAAAAACTAATTTTTAAAATTTTATCCAATAATAAAAGACGTTTTAGGTATAGAGTCGTACCAATATAATTTAAAATAATTTCCAAAAATTTAAGAGAACAGGGTTTCAATTTTCCTTATAAAGCGGCACGAACTTACTGGGCAACCCAATATTTTTCTTCTCCTGTCATAACGCTTAAATATAAAAGTTTGTCACGCCGAATATGACAGATACGTATTAACTAATATCAAATTTTGCCTTGTCACAATATATATAATACTAGTTTGGCGCAGTATTCTAGTATGTTTGCCGTAATATGTAAGTTTACCGGTTCGAATCTCAGGCTACTTTTTTTTCATTTTATCAATCACGGGGTTATTTTTTCATAACCAGTAAAAATTTGGTAATGTAAAATTTTGCTCGACAATTTTTTTTTATAATTTTCGCTGTTGGGTAGAAAGAAATTTAAATAAAGTTAACAACAATTATGTCAGACCATCGCGGGTGAAGTGAGTGGGCGGAGCGTGGATTGTCTTTGCGGGTTTTAAGAATGGTACCCGCGGAAACTATACGTACAAGTGTTATCTACATATGTGTGCGCGCCCACGCACGTACGCACGTAGTTTGGATATTGACATTCAGTTTTTTTTCTTTGTTTCTTAAATATAATCAGTATCAGTAAAAGGTAAAAGTAAAAGTGTTATTTTTACCGGTACAAGTTTAACTAACATGAGTAATAAACAAATTACATGCCAATAGCATCGCTTTATCTCCTTCATTTTTGTTTGAAATAGAAAAGTACTTTAACGGTCAAACTCATTAGTCCAAGGCAATATCAAAAAGTACCTAATAACTACGGCGATAGAGTTTAATTACATGTGCTTGGATATTAAAATTAAAAAGTTTAAATATCAAAAAAAAATAGTGGCTTGGGATTTGAACCGACGACCTTACGTACCAACGGCGGCGAACGGTAAGGCCACGAGACCAAACTAGCATATATGATGACAAACTTAAATTTGATGTTGGTTTTATCTACCTAATATCTGTCATCCGCGTCGAACACTTTTAGTAAATTTTGAAAAATGGTTTGATGCAAAGTGTCAAATGAATGTAACAGAAGTAGTTTATTCCAAATTGTATCACAAGTATATAGAGATAGAGTTCAATTTTGTCAAATGTACCGATATTTTTGCGCACCTTGACTGCTTCGTTACTTATGACGCTGTGGCTGCTACGATATTTATGAGCATCTTGCATGTACTCATATATTTGACGCTGTGTATGTACCGATGTTTTTGAGCAGGGTGAATGTATCTATTATTTTGAGGACTTTTGTTGTACCGATATAATTGATTACTTTTGATGTACCTATATATTTGCATATCTTGTCTGTTACGATCTATATGACGCTGACTGTACCTCCCATGGTAATAAAACTATATGAGACATTCAGTAGAAAACCTTGTAAATTATAACTTAAACTAATCCTCCACTAAAGCTTTTGCTTGTTTCTTCAATTCCTCTTCATCGGGTTCTTTATCTAATAATCCTCTTGCTTGTAGATATTCACCATACTGTTTGGGTATACCCATGAATGTTTTAATCTTAGCTCTCAGCTGTTTCCATGTTTCTTGATAATAGTTCTTCCTGTCTTTTTCCATTGCTTTATAATCATGTCCATATTTATCCAATAAGTATGTTATAAATTCTACTTGTCCTTTTGGTAGCCTGCAAAATAAAAAAGTTAAGTGGTTCAAATTAATGAAACCAAAGGATCGCTGATTTCTACTTTTACACCAGCAACATTTTGACGATTAATACTTTATTGTGTTAAAAATGCCCCTCAGTTAACAGCATGTACTAAAAAAATACACATTTACAGGAGTCTCTTTTTAAAACTTTAAAAATGATTCATAGGAGCTATTGAAATCTCAGATTTTAACAGATATTTATTTACTGTAGACATTGTTACAAAATATACTTGGGATGATATTCCACAATTTTATGATCACCTCTTAATATTGTCAATAATGCCTAGTGTGAAAAGGATGACATTTCCTGAAGTACTTACATAAATCTCCTTTCTCTTGGTGCTTTAGCTTCTTTTTCTAATTTTTCAGCAACTTCTTTTTTTATTGGTACTGCAGTGATTGTTTCCTCCTCATCAGTGTTTTCTACTTCACCCTTGTTAACAATCACCTTAGCTTGTTTTATTTTTTCTTGTTTGAAATTTGGTATCTTTATAATTTTATTTGGGTCATTTGCTAGACCCATATCTGTAAGATTTTTATAAGTAGATTTCTTGTGATCCCATGCATCTTTTATTATTTCACTGTAATAAAACCACTGTTAAGTTTTCAATAACCAATGGAAATTTATCCAGATAAACGAAGTGTAAAATAAAACCACGAGTACATGTGGATGATTTAAGGAAGGGAAGATCGAAGAAATTATTTAATATTTAGATTGGGAAAATTATGTGTTATACTTATAAAGAATCGTATTCGGGTATGATCGGCCAAAAACAGATATAGAGTAATGGGAGATACTGCGTTTACTTTTGCTATATGAATAGAATTTTAAAAGGTGTCATACCATGGCACGGTGCCTGTATTGCGTTGTTTTCTATTCATTCTTTTGCGATTAAGTTTGTGTAGAAATTTCTTCTTACGATGTTGTTTTTTAACCTTCATGATGATTTACAATGTTATACTTTTGATTTAATATAAAATAACTCTTAATAAATGTAAATACCCAAAAACAACACAACTTCAACCTTACACTTAAGTTAAACGTCAATTTGACATTAGCTAACCATGTGCCAACCATACGGTTTTAAAACTGTCTCAACTGTTTTAATACTTAAATATTGCAATTTATATAAAGAATAAAAGATTCTATATGAATGTATTGAATCATTTGACTACAGAACATTTACAATAATTTATCTACAGACGATTGTTTTCAGTACCCTTGATTTTTATTGATCAACGGTCGTGAATTTGTAAACTTTAATTTTATTACGGACAGGTGCTAGATTCTGTCAAAGTCATATTGATTTTCATGTTTTTTTTCATTGGATAGAGGTTAAGCCTTGCTTGTACATTAATTTGAAAAAAAAACAAGTCACTCTTATTAAAGGAATAATCAGCCATAAATCACGATGCATAAGCAGGGTGCAACAAGATATCAAAAGTTTCTCAAGTCGGAAAAGGCTAAGACTAAGTTAAAAGGGAAAAAAGACCTACCAAAGGGCACCAATGTTACTAAAACAAATTTTAAAGTAAAAAAAATCATAATACAAGAACAACTTAAGAAACATGGTCAAACGGAAGCCTTGTCGTCAAAGAAGCTAAATGCTAAAGAATTGTTATCACGACTAAGTCACTTTAATACAAATGCCCGTATGGAAGCCTTAAATGGATTAAAAGAACTTATAACTCTGCACACTGACTCTCTGGAAGTAAACTTGGGACAATTTATTCATGGTGTTACGCCTTTGATTTTAAACATTGAAAAAAATGTGAGTATGGTGGTTGTTTTCACAAAGAATACTAAGCTATATCTATAATCAATGATTAATTTCTTGGCATTCTATAGGACAATTTTATATATTTGTAATTTTTTTCAAACTTACCTTCCAGGTACGACGTGAGTCAATAAAGGTAGTCCATTTGGTGTTAACACATGTAAGCACAGATAAAATAGACCCTTTCCTTGATGTTCTATCAACATACCTCAGAAGTGCAATGACACATATTGATAGCAGAATTCAAGAAGACTCACTATTATTCCTTGATGTCTTGTTATTATGTACCCCGCAACTGATAGCTCATGATTTTCATAAGATTATACCCAATTTCTTAGATATGATATCAAAGTTGAAGGATACAAATCAAGGTAGGACATTGATTGTTAATTTAAACAGCCAAATTACTAGTGTAAAGTGGCGTGTAAAGGTATTTTACCGGCTGCAGCAGTTTTTGCATAAATTTGCTGAATGCAATGATGTTTACAAGATAGAACAGTTATCTGACAAGACTCATGTATTTGACATAAAAAATAAAAATAATTTTCTATTATTTAATCCAATTTATACATCCGTATGCACAGTGTCGTGCTTTTCATCTAAAACCACTCAAAATGTCCTTATATCAGGTGAAGAGGAAAAGTTTCAATCCTATCTAGAAACTTTAATGCCCTTAATGTTTGATATTTGGCTCGAAGCACGCCCTAATGTAAAGGGAGATAAAAATATTGAAACAGTCATAAATGAAGATGCTGCAATATTATTAAAACATATTCTTGATGTGATTTCTATAATATGGGAACTTGTTGAATACTTTAATAAAACATATCCTCGTTCATTGTTAAAAAATAGTTTCATACAAAAATATAAGTCTCTGTTTAGCCAGCATTTTGTTGCTGCCTTTCCATATGTAACTAATGTAAGGTCACGGTTGCCAAAAACAGATTTACCTTTTGAAAGCACAATAAAAGATCCAAAGCTAATCATTGAAAATTTGGAAATATGCTATTTGTATATAAGTATCAATCCAAACCTAAATATAAAAAACAACCAAAAAGATATCACTGCTATCTTCAATTACATTGAAAACAACTTTACCAGTAACTCACAAGGCCCCATGTTAGATGTGGCAATTAAAGTTATGAACAAAATAATTTCAGAAGAGATAAGCAGCAATTGGACAAACTCATTATATATAGTAGAACCATTATTTAGAAAAATGATCTCAACTTACTGCAGTGACAGTTCTTCTACATATCTAAAGCAGCAAATGTTTTCATTGCTTTTCAAAATGTATTTAAATAACAATCTAGTTGGTTTTCATTCCAATGCAGTTTTTGTATACTGGCTCCATATTTTACCAGAAGTATTGTTAGAAAGTACTATTAGTTCAGATATAATTAATATTCTTCATAGGCTTGCTGTGAGTAATAATAAAAGTTTTAACAATGTAGTTAAACCTAAACTTACAGATATTATAACAAACCTACCTAAAATTACAATAAGTGATTCAACACAAAAAAGTTCTTACTACAAACTATTTTCTATATTGTATTGGATAAATTCATGGGATGCAAAGTCTTTTGAATTGTTAGAAAACCAGATTATGAATAATGAATATAAGAGTGATTATGGACAATATATTCTTGACACTTTAAAATCTAGAGGTGGCATCATAGATTAAGGTTAACATTTTTTTGTTATATTGTAATGAAACATTGAATAATCAATGAGTTAAATAAAATATAAAACATATTTTTTGTATTTTTTTTATTAATTCAAACATGATATTCCAATGTAATACAACCAATTAGCAAAATGTACAGAATTACCACATTTTTAGACAATATCCAATGTCGAAATTGCAATTGAAACCACAGCTAGAAATTATTGCAAGCATAGCTGCATTTTTACAACACCAAGAATTATAATATACATAATAATTTTGCTTCATATGGTTAATTTTTTACTCATATAGTACTGTACATATATTCTAACAAAACACAAATTTCCATACAAGAACAAATCATACCATCTTCTATATATTGGTTGTAAATAAAACTAAAATATACATACAAGATAAACTGACACACATAATTTTAGGACATGAAAATTGCATTGCATTAAACACATTTGGTAAAATAAACTTTATAATCTCTACCATTTTAAATATATTCCTATCCCTAACAATGAGTTTATATGTAATTCTATTTGTCTTCTCAAGTTGGCTCAATAAGAATTAAAACTGTACACAAGACATTCTGCTATTTATGTTGTAAATTTATAAGTATATTGCACCTTTTTTACTACACCATATTAAATGAAATTAATTTAATAAAACTTTATTTTATTTATGTGGTAAAGCACTTTTGCTTTAGAATTTACTGCTACATTTTACACAGGGCAAACACATGATCATGTAACTTATTCGATCTGGTGATGGAAAGTTCATTTGACAACAAAATCTTATTAGGAAGGGTACGGCAACATCTTCAGTTACCACTAAGGTGTTCCCTAACATCCCTTTAAAAATATCTCCTTAGTATGTATTAATTTATTGAATTTTTATAACTTCAATTTGTGTTTGGATATATCATAAATATGATTCCTCTAGTGTTTGTTTTAAAGCCTCGTTGACTTTTTATTTGATGCTTAATGCATACCATAATTATACACTATGCCTTTTTAAATAGTAATTACACAATTAGATATTTGGCAAATTTTGGCAAAATTAAAGATTACCAATTTTATATGAGTGCATTTGAAAACATATATTAGTTTTAAAAATAATAATCGAGATATAATGGATCCAGATTTTTTTGAGAATTCAGTCCTCATAAATAAATTTACCTAATTACAAATATTATATTGTGCATTCAATGCTATTGAATTTTGGTAACTATACAAAGTACCTATTAGAAAAAATAAAAACGGAAAAAAGAACCGAGAAAAAATTACCTTCATATCAATACTTCTTAATTACTCGAGATCGTCTAGATTCTATAAAACCTAATATAAGTTAGCCTTAACAGACAACATTTCGATATAGAATATTTAGCACAAGCAAAAGAATTATTGGAAGCTGATATAATATAATACTGATTTAGGAAGAGTATTTCAATTCATATGAATTTAATTATTATAAAATTGGTGACATGCACTTTAATATAAAAAGTACATAATAGAACAAAATATAACATTAAAATAACTACTATTTTAGCACACATTAATAAATATTATAGCCTAAATAGGAGCAGCGATAGATAATAAAATGGATTTGCTAATTTATTTTTAAGTTTTTGTTACGTCTTTTTACGTCGGAAATGTGTGAAATTAAATCTAGATAGAGAGCATTATTATTGAAACAGATAAGAGGGACTTAAATGGCAAAGACAAACGAGCCCTAACTCATTTATTTGCTATTTGGGTCTCATCGAAATATCTGCAAATGCCTTTTTAATACATCATTAAGAAACTTGAATAAATTGCCTACTGAGTTTTCCTTTTACTAGACTTTTTTGCACGCGGTATTGTAGCAGATGCCGACAGCATTGCCTGAAATAAAACAAAATAGGAAATTGAAAACTAATATCAAAAAGCAAAAAGCAATTTTTTTGGTCTTTTTTGTATTATCTTAATATCGTAACTAAAAATTCAAGACATACGTAAATACGTTCATATAAAAGCATCATCCAAAATGAAGCAGAAAGAATAACAAGGGAGCGATAGTCAGTTAAGGAAATCGGTTTAAAAATAGCATTTTTAAAATTCACAAAATAAACATTATAAATATCACAAAATAAAATGCACAAATTGTTAGTTAAAAAAAAACTGATAAAATAGTTTCCTAAAAATAAACAATATTGAAAAACTCTATTACTTCATAAAGTAGTCATCATCAGATTTAGGAACCAGCTAAAACCTTTTTCTTTTCTTTTATTGATGATGAATTGGGTATTGCAGATATACAGTTATTATATTTTTAAACTCTCAATGTAATGTGTTTGCAATATAAATAGAATAGATAACTAATTTGCTTAATTTGCTACAAAGTTAGTTCCTAAATTTGTAAAAAATCTTCAAATATTTCAAAATGTGTTACACATTAAAAACAAAATGTTACATAAAAATCAACGCAATAACAAAAGCAGTGGCAAAATCAAATTGCATATTTATAAAGCATAAACGTATTATTACTATAAAACAAAACAATAAAAAAAACAGTAAAACAACACATGCAATCCAAACAAAATTAACACAAAACATAAATAAACATACTGTTCCGGCCTGTAGAATTTATCGTTCGTTAAACATCAGTACTTTTTGACATGGTTTTGATTTCATCTTTCAAAGGAACAAATTTATATTCTGGATGACTTTCTATTTTCGCCTCTATAAGCTTTTGGAGAATGTCACTTTTTTCAATGATATCATGCGATGTGATTTCATTTTCTGATTCTATTGCATCTTTAAAACTAATGTCATCTAATGATTTTGGTCTTAATAGTATTTCGGATATACCCTTCGATTCATCATTGGGCAAACTTGCATCTTCCTTATTCGGAACATTGTCGATTAATTGACCTATTGAAGAACTTCTACTTTTGTCACCTGAAGAATTCGAAATATTATCAGATACGGATTTGTCATCATTTCTATGCCAAAAAGCTAATTTCCCAGGTAATTGCAATAATTTTCCGAATCCCGAAGCACTTGGTTTGGGTATTCGGATCGGGGATTTGGATTTTTGTCGATTTCTTATTTCACTTGTGGGGCTCAGACTGTCAGGTAGGGTAACTGCCTCCTTCTCCTTACTTACCTTTTCTTCTTTTAAATCTTTTTCATCATCTAATATTTCTTTCGTTATTATATTTGTACCGTCAAGAGCGTCTTTAGGACAGGTATTTATAATTTCTGTTGATGGTGGCAAAGGAGCTTTATTTTTACCGTATTTACCTTTGGCATGTTTTCTATTTGATTTCGGCGATTCATTGGGTGTGCCAAAAGAAGCTTCATCGTCTGATGAATAGTTATCAGTAAAGATTTCACCCGAATTATTCGTTGCCAAATTACCATTCTCGTTTGTGTCTTGTTCGTTTGTACTTTCAAATTCTTTTTCAATCGATTTTATGTTAGTTGTATTGTTTTTCAGTGTATCATTGTTTACTTGAGAAATATCAGAACTAGGTTCGTCTTTAGTCAAGTTATCCGCGGCCTTTACTTCTAAATCAATTTTAGTAAGACCTACATTGTTATCAGCATCGTGTTTTAGTTGAATGATATCAATATTTTTGGGAGCATTGGTTGTGGAATCATTATTCGAAATATTGTTTTCTAATGCATTATTTTGAGGACTATTTTCTTTGATTTTTTCCTCAGTGGATATATTATTTTGGTCCCTTTCATCAGATGGACTGTCCTTCTGATTTAACTCCTGAGAAGTAGGCAACTGACCTAATACTTGTAAAATTCTGACCTGTTTACCATCATATTGGTAAATAAATGTAGGATTTGTATGAGATAAATAAAGACAGGACGATGATATGTTGACAAGGGAAGGCATGTCTGTGTAAATATTAAGATCGTCGTCTTGTAACTCCTCGATGTGGACTTCATTATCCTTTAAATAAAAAGGCCTTAAGTCTAAATCAAAATAAATAATTTTAAAGTTAATAAATGCAAACACAGACTTATAAAAAAATATAAGGAATAGAAGATAAATAAGTACTCATAACATGCATAAATAATGAAAAGTAAAACAGTTTAAAAACTAAGATAAACGCAACTTATATTTGTGCTAATTCTGGATATTACGGCATTTAAATGTTTGTAATTTAAGTGTAATTATAATATATTTTTTTTTATAAACTAATAATTTTGTAATACTTTGATCAGTCTCAAATGTATTAGGAAATTAATTTATTTTAAATATAGAATATGATTATTAAAATAATAAGCAATGATTTAGAACTTTATGGATACAGTTGTGCGTTTCGACAATTTAATTTTGCTGAAGTAATCCTCGTAGAAACTTTTGCCAAAATCTCAATAAATTCAAAAAACTTATATATTCAATAACAATGCGGTAACTTGAATCATTCCTTTTCTATTATATATTGAGCCAGCACCAACTACCCTGACATTTATACCGTGAGTTCCCATTGCGGTTACGCGTACAAAAACATAAAATAATCCGTCATTTTCTTTGAAAAGGCGACAACAATATGTTGTTATACTGTGCATTTTGGGCATTAGAAACTCACAGTTAACTTCTTTCCGTAAACAATGTCCGTTTTGATTTCATACATTTTCATCCTACTTTTTTTAAATATCATATATATTTTTATTTATGCCCGGTTTACATTATTCCAGTCCAGTGATTGAAAACAGCCCTTGAATGGTTCCAGTGTCGGTTTACTAATAATAATACTGGAATAATGCAAATTGGATATTTTATAATATCCATCGGTACTTTTGGCTTTCTAAAACTAACCAACATTGTATACAACTAAATTTGTTCAAAATAAAAATTAATATTACAGAGTATTTCAGTTAAAGTTCAATTTTATAATTTTCGTTAATTATTTTAATTTGAATTAATGATAATTGCAGTTATATTTTCTTATAACTATTAACTATTCTATCTCATTTGACATTGATTAGGCATAAGGCTAATTTTACAAATAGACATCTAAAGCCTTGTGGCGTTAACATTCACCAAACATTTTCTCGTAAATATCGTAACTGTGGGTTCCCACTGTCAAAAAACTTGTAGAAAACTATAAAGTTGTTCCTCTTTTTAGAAAACGAACCGTTTTCTAAATAGATGCAAAGTTATTTTTTACAAGTATTGTTGCAGTGCAAGCCCTCAGAAAGATTTATAAAACGGTTTAAAAATCAGATTAATTAAATATAAAAATAACATGCGGTTCATTTTGAACTTCATTTATTTTCTAATTTTTAAGCAAAACGAAAAATAACCGTATAGTCTATTTGTATGTGTATTTCTGACAATCCTATCAATATCCGAGGACATGTTAAAATTAATATTCTATTCGAAAAATAAAGATCTGATTGATGTCAGATCTTTATCTTAATGTATACTCAAAATGAACCACATAATACGTCAATACTCGATGCCTAAGCCTTTTAAATTTAATGATTTTATGATCATCAAAGATGTGATGAAATCGTGATGGCATATTAACATTCTTCGATATACAAAAATACCAAAACTAAAAAAAAATCCAAAATGTTAATTTTCGATACTAAAATAATCTTACTGCTAATTTAGCTGGCCAAAAAAATAATTTACCAAATCAAACAGATCAATGGAAAAATCACTTACGGCCGTATAAACTCATAGGTTAATTATTATTGCTGTGATTACTTCTAAACGTAGGTAAATGAGAAATACAGCCGTAAAGTTACAATTTTAAGAGAAGCGTCTATGTCAGTTTCTATTGTTCTATGTCAGTCACATAGAGCTTTGCGAGCTCTATGTGACTGACATAGAACAATAATGTGAAAAACCTAGTTTAAGTTGACAAATAATTTACTGAAGTATAGGCGTCAAATCAATTTGCAAATCTTGAAAGTAAGTTATGAAATAACGACATAATTGTATTATTTTTGTTGATTTATTACATCTTATGTACGAACTGTAATTAAAGCGGGCAGACACAATTATTGATATAGAAAATTCACGAATAATTGGTATAGTTTTTGGTGCATTTGTATATCGAGATGTTTAAAACGTTGCTGTATCATTGTTACCAGACCTCAGCCGCCTGCGGGCGCTTGATGGTGGTGATGGTCGTAGTCCGTGTTGCGCGCGCGCGAGATCGCGCCGCCCCCGCCCCCGCCGCGCCCATAGACCCAGTGCGCGTGAGAGACCCAGAGTTGTCCGCGCTAGAGTACCCAGAGCTTATATCCTCCGTTGATTTTATATGGCTGCAATAAAATACACTATATTAGTTTATAAAATTATTAATATTTTTATTAATTCGGTGGCTGTGGGATGTAGAAATCGGTTGGCATAGAACACAAAAATGTATTGCAATAGTTACAACTCGGTCACTGTAAGAAATTATTCTACATTAATTACCTAAAATCTGGTTCATCACTTCTACTGGAGCGCGTGCTTCTCACATCCACGTCCACTTCAGGGAAGTACATCGGCTGACGACTATTAGACTCGGAAGCGCTGCGCCGAGCCGCAAATCCGCTGAAAATTACAAAATCAAATAGTGAATAAACGTCAAATAACTTTCATTTGATTAAAAAAACAAAAATCTTATCTATATGTATAAAAGAAAGTCGTGTTAGTTACACTATTTATAACTCAAGAACGGCTTTACCGACATGGTTGAAAATTGGTGAGGAGGCAGCTTAGAGCATGGAGACGGACATATGATACTATGAATTCATTTTTTTTTCGAATTTACGTCTTGAAGAGCTACTTTTTATTTGACTTACTAATATTAAAATTTGGTATAGTTGTAGAACAGTGCGGAAGATCACATAGGCTACTCATTAACTTTTTTTCTATTTCCGCGCGGACGGAGTCTCGGGCGATAGCCAGTATTATATAATATAATTTATAACCTAATATACATAAGGAAATGTAAACTTTGTGCAACGGAAATAAGTATCATAGTTATTGAAGGAGAATTAACCTTTTGATAGCGCGTCGCACGAGCCTCGGCTCGGCTAGCACGTCGTCAGCCTCATCCGCTCCGGCGCGCTCCTCGCGCGGCTCGCACTCCGTCAGGTCTGATAGGCTGTAGCTTTTGCGCAACTGTTGGACTAGACCTCCGCCGCCCTAAAGTTACACAAACATTTAAACACCGTTACATGTTCGTTAGTTTATAACATGCTGTCATCTCTGTCGAAATAAATTGAAATAATAACACTTTAACCAATGTTAAGATTGCATAAGTGTTCACATGGGCTTTGAAACTTTTTGTCGGTCTGTGTGATTAATTTTTGATTGTACAATATCTCTATTATTAACTCAATATCCACTGCAAAATGGAAATTATTATTACAAGAGATTTAAGAAAAATCCGCCTCATTAAGATTAAAAATTATTTATTATCTGTGATATGGATTTGATTTGTAGGCGGCAGTTTGATGTTATAAATCTACAAGATTACAGCCAAGGCTAAAGTGTATTGTAGCAATGATTTGAACATTAGAAAAGTCCAATATAATGCTATTCAGCCATTAGTAATGAACTTTTAAACAATATATCATTTTACCGTTTATGCTTGTTTCATACTCCACTTTGAGCAAGAGTATTTCAAAACATCTGGATTAAAATTTGTAGTCACGTAAGCATTAGTCCAATCTGTCATTAGTCTGACGCAGCTATATTAACGGTGATAAAACTTTAGTAGAGGTGAATTAGTGCATTACTAATTTGTTGAAAATAATTAGGCAAAAAAAATTAATACTCACGTTTAAATCTGTATTTGTTGCGTCTTTTCCAAACACATGCTGTATAAAGCTCTACATATCCTTCTTATAAATGAAAGGTCTAATAGAATCACATAGTTTATTTAGAAATCATACGTACATTAACACTAATTCAGTCACGCGTAACTAAAATCTAAGAACACAACATACATAGCCGGTGATCGTCAAACCGAACATGCAAATATGACTAAGTATTCAATAGTCATGCGACGTACAGAGATCGATGACTGAGATTTAGAACCTAACGTATTATAAAAATATAAAATTAATTGTTACAAATTCTTGATTTTTTGGTAGAGGAACTATTTTAATGCTTGAAATGAAAAAAGCAAATAAAAATAACGACTGTAACTAGCAAAAGTGTGTAGGTAATTGTGATAAGCTTTCTATGAACTAAAGTAAATAAATGAGGAAAAAACTGTAACAGCCGAGAAAAATTATGATAGGAGTCTCGTTAAAAATGAAATATTTTATAAGTTTTAACACTAAGAACGGTCCTAAAATCATCTAAGAATCACAGTTTATTTTTTCCTTTAGAATAATCCTAGTTCAGTCGACCGTCACTTCATTCTCCCTTTCTATGGCGGATTGGCTTCTGGTTTTACGTCCTTTAGATTTACTCCGTGACCTCTTTTCTTTGGTCACTTTGCGTTTTCGAACGACATTGCCGCGACTTCGTGCTGAAGTCGGCTCATAATCGGGATCGATGGCGTCTCCAGCGCCGATGTGAAACTCGTCTTCGTTGTTGTCCTGAGGGTCTAGTTCCATTATTTCAACTCTAGGTGGGCTGTTGCTCTCAGAATGCTGGTATTCAATGTTGTACGCAATATCTTGGCCGTCGATGACGTCTCTTGCAGTTATAGCTTTTCTACCTTCGATTCTTTGCTCGGGATTCGGCAGATTGAGATTCTATTTGTAGCAGCAATGGAAAGGATTTTGGAATAGAACAGGGTGGATGGGGGGAAATTAAAAAAGCGTGTTAATAAAATAAAAAAAATCAAAATGGAATTAAATTTAAGCGAAGTGCATCGAACCGATGTGTTTGATATCGTTTGTTTCAAGATCATATGTAATGTCTGTTTTATGTCAAGCATATTTACGTGTGGTGATAGCTTGTGAAACGCTACGAAAGCTGTGCTAAAAGCCCCCAGCGTCTGTACTACATGGCTTTGCTCACTTTGTGAAACCGTAATCAAACACATCGTCTGGTTTATTTGATTTAGCATTACGTGAGTTGGACTATGTAATTGGTGAGAAAACAATATGAAAAGAAAACTGAACAAAACTCGTGTTAAAATGGCAAATTTTTACAACAAATTCTTTATGCATGAGTTTGAACCAAATAAGACTTCATATACCCGACAGCAAGTAAAACTTATTTGGATCAATTCTATTAAAAAGCATGCATAAAACATTTTTATTGACATTAAAGGAGATTATTGTAAGGACTTACTTTAATAGCTGTCTGCATAATAACGGTGGTGGCATAGTTGACGCCCTTAGTGCCCAAGTTGAGCACAGTGTGGTAACCTTGATCTTTGGCCTTGGCGATGTATTCATCTATTTCCTGTTAGATTTAAAAGAAGGAAGACTAAGTTGCAATAAAAAAAACATTAAAAAGACAAGTGAATGTAATTTCTCCCGTCAGAATCAAAGCTGCTAAACTATTTGGCACATAATACTCATCGTGATATCGTAACAAGTAAATGACAGGTGCATTATGAAACAAAGTACATTTAGAAGTGCTAACGTTGCTACTAATGAATCCATTTGCGTAAGTAAGTATCGTCTTGTATAAATATTCAAGTCCTTGAGGTTGTGGCGATGCTAATATGTAGAACAATCAATCCCTTCTCTTGAACGTTACACATTTGTAAAAAAGCATTACAATTAATCTATTATTACATTGAAGAAAAAGTAGATTTAGACACGGACATAGATTCGTTTTCTTTTTTTTCTTTTCTTTCTTTAATTAATCTTTAATTTCACCAAACATAGGTTATAGGTTTCGGTCGTACAGCACTATAGTAGTAACCACTATTCGACTCATAGTACGATAGCGTTTATTTACCTGCTCCCTCCTGCAGAGCGCTGGATGCACGAACTTGCGGTACAGTATTGAGGAGCCTTTGGTAGCGGGCGAGAGTAGCCAGAGGACCAACACTATCTTCACCTCGTAGTAGAACGGGAACCACGACAGGAACACATCCGTGAACGTCTCTGTACACGTGAACAGTGCGAACACTATCCAGTACATCATCCATTTTACCTGGAAACGACGATACGCAAATTTTAGTTTGAGAAATCGTTACAGTTCAGTAATTATTTTTTTTATCCTATCGAATATCGAATTCATGGAACACAAAGGATTCCTCGTGTTCTTATAGTATGTAATAAACCAAAATGGAATAAGAAGACTTTACGGTGCCTTCATGATTTAAAATTGTGACCACCGTTTCAACGTCTGAACTTATCGTCATCTTTCTCATTATATTTGACAAAATTAAGATAGCAATATGTTTTAAACGGAGATTTGGGTCTTAGAAACCCACGGTAAGACAAAAATAAGATCTTCCTTTGCTTCTTTGTATTATTGTATTATTATCTTTGTATTATTTGTTGCAATTGTTTATTGAACATTGTCTCCCTTGACACATCAATAAAGTTTAAAGAAAGGAAAGATAAATTAAAAAAAATATTGTAGGCAACAATAAAAAGGAACATAACAAGCGCTACGAGTAATTGCACATAAGTATCGGAGAGGAGGTAGAGGACACGAAGCTAACTGAAGCGTTTCGAACAAGTTGTGCGAACCGTGCAAGGCCGTCCTAGCCTAGTGGTAACTCTATACTTAGAAACGGTACAGTACAAATGATCTTATTTTTTATTAATGCAATATGCACTACAACAATTTTAAACAATCTATAATAGATTTTGAGCGTTTACAGTAAGATTGCGCCTTCTAAAAAGCTGTTATAAAAAGCTTTCGGAGCCCTTTTCAAATAACATTATTAAGGGTACAAATTTTTAATGGTAATAACTATGGTCAAATTCAATAGAAATGAGAAATTAAATTTACTCATTACACTGGCTGACAATGTCTTAATGGATTTATTTTGGAACGTTTTAGAGTTTAAATTGATGATACAAACATGTCTGTTTTTAATCTGTGTTTCCAGCCTTATAAAAATAAAATTGATTAGATAGTGTAGTTTAAATTTCCCATTTCTATTAATTAGGAATATAATAAATAAACTATGGAAAAAGATACTTACGTATTCTTTTAAATTCTTCGTCCGCACAGCTTTGTATGAAGCATACGCCGGATATAAAGTTCCAAATACCAATCTGCAAAATGGATACAGCACAAGGTAAGATATCATCTTCGGTGCAAACACTGCAGTCACTATGGATAACACTCCAAAATTTGCGAAGGTGACGCTAGGCACACATCGGCTGACAGCCGAACCGAAGTTCACAACGAATTTGCTCCAGACTTTTCCGTTCGGCGTTCCGAATGGGAAGTCATCGTAATCGCTGAAACTGCTATCGATGTTCGACTGGTATTTGACTACTTCTAGGCCGCTGGCACTGGTCACTGGCTGCGAATATTCAGCCTCTAGTTTATTGACTATATGACGGACACTTGTGAGTCCCAGAGACAATCTGAAGCGAGGGTTGTCACGGTTACAGCGCGCGTGACCCGCCTCCATGGAGACGACGGACACAAGACACTCGGCTCAGTTCTACACTGCACTTATTATTGTCTCAACCCGAGCATGTTCAATTACTAACAAATAATGAAAGTGCATAGTCTAAATCTTATTTCAATACTGCGTGGTTATGCCTATTTCGACGAGCGTTTGTCTTGCCTTGAAAATAAATAGAAGGTCGTGAAATGCTTTTCGGTTCTTATACTAGTCTTTTTTCCGCACGATTAAATATTATTCACAAATAAGAAAACATAATATCTCGAGAAACGATTTATGAACTTAAAATCCCGATATTTTGCTATTCTTTATGAAAATTGAAAACTCCAAGAATAAAGTTCTTTTCCATAAGACCATCGGCATGTTTCCGAACAACTGTAACGAATGAAACATTCTTATTGTTGTCCAGCAAAAATATTTATTTATATAAAATAGTAAGCTTCATTATGCATACAAATGGTCGTCAAATTCCACTAAGCGAGGGTACTGAAAATATTAGAGGTCGGTACAGTTTTCTGTAAAATATTTTTAAACTACATCTATTTTGACTAGGCAGTTGGTGTAAGCTTCTAGTTTATTGCTTACATGTGCATCGCTAAAGAATTTGTTGTATGTAAAATAAATCAACTTTCCAAAGAGGAAAACTATAACTATTTAATGTCTAATTTTCGTTGATATACAAAGTCCAGCCAGTCAATTTATCCTAAATGAGCATTGCCCGGAAAGAGCATAAGTCCGTGACCATTTAACGAGTTAACGCTAAATTAGAAACACACTCATAATCGACTTTGAAAGCATACAACTGCATGCAGTTAAGTTCCGTATTAATTGTCTGGCGGTAATCCATTTTGTATAGGTTTACTACCGAGTTTATCTAAGCAAATTCTACTATGTTCTGCTCTGCAGATTATCGCAGTGGACTCATCGGAGTTCACCAACAGTGGTTTAGTTCTAACTGTGCTTTATTTCAAAATTCAGGGCAAGACCAGCAGATAAAAGGATAGAGCCATCAACACTATATTAATCTTAAGTTCAAAGTAACAACGAAACAATATTAAGCAGATGGAAGCATTGTTGTGGCACTGAATGTGTAGCAGTAGCACAATGTAGTCCGATTATTGTTAAAAAAAAGAACAAAAAGAATCCCAATTGGCAACTGTCACGAATGATGAATAATAAAGAGACCGGACAGTATAGCGTTTATACTATCACCAATTTAAAATGCTCCACCTCGCCTCAATTGACCACTTAACTAATACACGACTAGAAACCGACTGCCCAGATCCAATAACGCTGGTCGACTTAAAAATAAAACGAAGACAATTGCAATACAGCTGCAACACTTTGTTTATTTTGTATGTATGTATATCAACAAAATTATATAACTTTTGTTCCAATAACAAACAATGCCAAGTTTATTTCTTAGCGTCTATCAACACATCTGTTGTGAATCCTCAAAAAATTGATACCTTGTGTATTTAACTCTATTAGAATCAGAAATCTTGTAAGAGTACATTTAACTAAAAAATAAAAACACTGCATTTGTATTCTTATATGTCCTATTAACAAAACATGTAGCGAATGTTTCCCTCAAAATGCGATGTACTTTTTAAAAACAAATCACAGCGAGGCTTATCTCTAAAACTGTGGGCTCACTAATTTAAAAAATAGATTTTTTGCCTTATTTATTGCTTAAATAGAAATTTATTGATGGAAGTAGGAGGAACATCATAACTTCGCTATCTGGTCACCGAGAATTTTGTTTTGGAGAACAGAAAATAAATGACGTTTTAGAGAGGTTCAAAATAAGTAGATCTTATTCACTTATCAGTTTAATTATGTAGTAAAAAGTAAAAATAGTATCCTCATATAGTATTTTGTACGATTTCTAAAAAATTACTTCATGTCAAACGAAATTATGCCAACACCAAATTTTATTCAAGCGGCAAGCACGCGTGCGTTCCATTCGTTTAACATTTCCTTTTACACAGTCCTAAAATAAATATCCTCCGACTCTTGTTCTAAATAGGTCGTGGATTACTAATACTGAAGCATTCGTTGTTTCACAATGGAAAACCTTTAAATAGTGTAACAAAAAATATCATAAAACTCTACCTATTTTCATGTAGTCGAGATTTCTACATCTGCAAGTTAAAGCTTTGTTAACTAAGGGTCGTGAAAATTGATATAGTTTATTACATTCGTGTGGTTGACTTTAGAGTCGTTTAAATTTTAAAACGTTTCATTATTACTTATATTACTTCAGCGTCATATGACTAGGAAAACGATAAAACTTTCAAACAACAATCTACTTACTATACTGCTATCGCTAATAGTTTCGTAACATATCCGCACCTGATAGATGCAAGAAAATTATTCAAAGGATATTATTCTCTATTGCTATCAATCCCTACGTACTACGAATCCATTATGCCTTAGCTACGTAGTTGCATCGATGCATTAATTACAGCCTATACGCTTCTTTGTTTTGAACCGATGTAATGTGGCAACAATAAGTGAGTCATCTTGAAATTGAAAGATTCAATTTTCGTCCTTTGTTTGCCAATCAAATTGTGTATGAGTAAAAATAAATGACAATTCATGGAGAAAATAAAATATACTTATTGGTAACAGCCTACAAAAGTTATTTCTTACAAATGAAGTTATTATAAAACTTTCGTATTAGATAATAGTGCTATAAAAAATAAGTAAAATCGATACTAGAGTGTACTTTCCAAACGTGTTTTTCTGTATATCCGGTTGCGTATTTGTACGTACCGGAGTCCTATCGTAATCGCCAGTATACGGTAGTCGACTTGCACGCAAACCTAATAAGGTTCTGGGCTTCATCCTTGGGGAACGAGCAACGGTACAAGGGACGTGATTTGATCAACAATTGTTCGTCGATACTTAGAAATAGTAATAATACCAGCGACTAGGATAATCAACACAGTTTATTGCCACAAATTTTAGAGGATTTAATTATTTTCAAAGGCAGAGCATTTGGGCATTTCTGTTTTTAAGATTTTTCCTTAAACGAACGAAAATTTATTCACGAGTTTATTAACCTTTGAATATGTACTTTATGTCGGTTAACTTTAAACTACTTACAAGACTAAGATTGAATTGAACAGTTATCTAGACCCAACAAAACTTATACATTTATATATTTTCAATCACCCTTAAAAATTTTTTTGTTTACGCTTAATTAATAAGTCAATTACATAATATTGTCACAGCTTGTCTTTTTCATTATTCGACCTTATTCAACTCGGTAAAAACTCAGTCAGGCGTAGATTTTCTATTACAAATTTAAATTGTCTCTTGTTGCTTACTCAACTGTTGACCTTCATGACATTGTCAAAATATTATTACTCTAGAAACCTACACAACTCACTGGCTTACATATTACGATCGAAAAACATTATCCGGTAATTTTCATTTTTTTTTATATATTTTCTGTTTTGCTTTCATTAATACAACATAAAGTTTTTATTTTTGGTTTCATTTACCGGTAATTTATTAATCGAATAATGAAGTATTATAGTATATAGAAGGGACAGAAAAATTGAAATAGTTCGTTGAAAACGCCCTCGAGTCTAACGAATAACAGATAAATAATTAATGAGACATGATGCTGCCGAGTTATTTTAGTAGTATTAACCTACATAACGGTCAGTGAAACGATACATTGCCGGCTACATTTACAGGTTTAACAGTATGTTTGAATCATGAAAGTAATTTCTACAAGCACCTATTTCTTAGGCTTTTCTGATTTTGAATCGTAAAAGAAAAACAATGATAGGCTTTATAAATAAAGACAACATTAATGTTTAGCATTCCAATTGTATTTACAAATATCAACATAAATTTTGTCACAGTTTATATGTAAATAACAACTACATGATCCTCGTAATATATTGTTATTCTTATATCGGCTTTAGTTGGCGAAGACATTTATAAACGGTAGCAAACTACGTCACCCGCGAAACTGGGTAAAGGTGCGCGTTACCGAGCCGAGGCTAGGCCTAAAAAGGCAAGACGAGCGCTCTCGATATGTGCATAATATGTCGGAGTCAAGGTGTACGACCTCCAGACAGCGCGGGCTGATTGAGAACACTCGGAACAGTCACTAATAACTCCAGTGAACGAGCAACCATCGGCAATAATGAATCACAATACAGTTAAATGTCAACGCACTTCGCACGATTCATAGAACGGCAGCCGTTAACACGGGCCGCGATCACGAACTAAAACTTCAACTGCAACCAAAAGGCGAACGGCCAGCGGTAGGCCTCACCGAAAATAGCACCCGGCAGTGCACCGGGATACTCTAATGATGAATTCAGGACGAACTCTAAGCTTGAGTAACTTCTTTGTTCGAGCTGTTGATACAGGTCAATTTAGAAAACTCTGAAATGATGCGAACATGTGTCTGCGCAATTTCAATATCTGCTATTACTATTGCCTTCTTCTTTTTGTTCTGATTACACTAATAACTGGTACAAATAAGATTTACTTTCCATAGGTACGCAGTGTTTGGAGATGAGAATACGAATAAATGATTTAAAAAACAATAAAGTTGCCAAATTTCAGACCCAGCTGATTCTAAAATCATCGAATACTGGCAGTAAGCCAGTAGTGACGTCGAGTAGCGTCTAGTTTATAACACACGTGTCGATCAAACACTAACATGTACAAACATTTAAAATATTCAGGGTATTTGACTTATAATCATAAAAAATAAACTACATGGTTTACTTCAGAGGTATTACATCAAATTTTCTTTTTTACACACTTTTTTCTAGAGGCCTGCAACAGAAATCTATCTATCTATGTAACATATGATCATGGATTCATCTCATATCTCATCCACTACATAACATCAGATTGATTTGAAATGTTATAATAATAGCTTACATACATATTTGTAGTTGATTGAATTGAATTTTAATTAATTTAACTACCTATAGTTTAATTACTATTTATCCGAAGTTTGTTTTTAATGTAACTCATATATTCAGTTTTAACATTCCTAAAAAAGGTCATGAACTGAAATGTTGTAATAGGTGTATGAGGGCAGTATTTAAAAAGTGATAGAAAAGTAAAGAAATTGTTTAAAGGAAATAAGATAACCCTACATAGTTGTCTAACTCTATTTAAATTAAAATTATCAATAGGCCAATTGTGATTCTTTACATTACAGAACAATAAAGTTCCTCTTCTTTTGTATCAGTAAGTAGCTGCAACGGAAACTAATAAGATAATCAAATGCTTTTAAATTGTCTGCTTAACCCTTAAATAATCAAACATTTGTGGAAAATAAAACCTCTAACTCGTCTGCAGTTTTTTTTTTATTACAAAGTATGTGAAAGATTGACCACTGATCATGATCATCTTACCAATATTATAAATGCAAATGAATGGATGAATGTTTATTTTAACCTACCTCTGGAACGGCTCCATGGAACTCATTTGGATGGAATGGAATTTTGGAATAGATGTAGGAAGAACACATAGGCTACTTATTATTTTTTTTAATGCCGAGCGGATGGAGTCTCGGGCAACACCTAATTTGTTAATAATATTGAGATTGATGTTTTAGAGATGTCTGGTGTTCCTTAGTAAAGATATAGTATGATATCTACATAAAACTAGAATTTAAGCACACATTCAATGAGTTTGATGTTGGTTAAAAAGTAATCTCAACCTTTTCATCTGTGTTATAGGAGTGAATACTTATTTCATTGCCATTGAACATTCCATAGATTTTTAAGAAGCAGAGCGCCACAGTATTGTGGAAGGCATTGCATCAAAAATATAATTGTTAAATTTATTGCAGATGAATATCGATAGTAACCACTATTATGTCAGGTTCGCTACTCACATTTTTGCACCTTTTTATATGAAAAAACATTGATCTATTATCTCTAAAAATGAAAGTCAATGGAAATCATACAATGGTAAGATCACTTTTCCCCATAATATTTCCCCTTAATATTATAAAAGTGAAAGTTTAGATGGATATTTGTTAGAAGGTTTTTCCAAAACGGTTGCATGGTTCCTGCTAAAATTTGATATAGATGTAGAACATAGTCTGGAAAAACATATATTCTACAAATTATTTTTTTTTAATTCCGCGAGGACGAAGTCACGGGGAATATTTAAGGAATATTAAGATAAATTATACTGTTTACAAAAAAATATAAGTCTTAACTGTGGCAAAAATCTATCCTATTTTCGAACTTATACAACGAAATGACACTTGAATTGACACATTTCGACTCACCATGGTTGAAAAATAAAATTACAAACCAATCTCAAATTAATTTTCTAAACATATTATCATAATCGTGAAACTGTTGCATTTATTACATTTTAATTGAATTATTTTAGTTGTTTGTTTTTTGTATTGGATAATTTATAATCATTATCTAAAGAATATTTTCAAATTAATGCTGTAGAACACATTTTAAATAAGCAAAATAGAAAATGAAGATAACAAAGTAATTATAGAATACAAAATACATGACAAAGAAAATTCTTCACAAAAATATTGGATAAAACGTCATAATTACACAATAAAATAAAGTAACATCGAATAATAAAAAATAATACTTACATGACCAATCGGGAAATTATCGATGATATCATATTATTAATGTTCACATAAGAAAAATCAGCTCAAAAATAACCACAAAAGTAAACATGACAAAACACAGCCGCTCAGAAATAAGACTACTCCGCCATATTGATTCAAACTGATGTTTTGATCACGTGATCTTGATAATCAATAAAACTAGTCCGTTCAAAAACCGCAATTCAATATATACTTTGAAAATTTTCTTTTAATTGTAATTAATTAATTAGACTCTGACCATCTAATCTTGGTTTGCATTAATAATTGATAAAATTATTGACATTGTTTAGTATATTAACACTGAAAATACAAACGCATTATTAACTTACTTCAAATATGTACATTTTTAATATTCACACAGTTTACTAATTCTAGCAACTATTTCTTATTAATAAATAAATTGTGATTGATTGTGAAAATATGATTGCAAAATTAAGATGAAATTGCAATACCTCTGATACTTCTTGGAGAAGCGACATCTCACAATTAAAAACGCTTTGCAATGGTCATTTTAATTGCGCACCATCTAGCGGTCGTTTTAAAAACAAATGTCAACAAATTTTGATATTATTATCCTAATAAATGAAAAAGACTCATGGATCTTTGAGAGTGCTGGGGTTAAGGCGTTGTTTTCATTTTGCAGGTATACTAAATTTATCACGATAATGCAACCGATTTCGGAAGGTTGTTTTAACGCCTACGACTAAAGTTAGTCGCCTGACTTCACAAATAGTCGCTTTTTGTGTTCATTGGCTTGAAACACTTTTTGTTTTACGTAGTTTCCCTTCGCTCTACGAAGAGTGGAACGTGTTATGGGTTTATGCGTTGTGTTTCTTGACGATTGTGTAGTTTTGCAGTGAATAATGTGATAGTGTAGTTCGTTATGGCATTTAGATACCGCGAAGATTTAGTTGGCAAACGATTTCTGTCTGTGAGTGGTGTGGCAAAAATTAATGTGAATAAAGTTTCTGAATGGGGATGGAAAGCTGGTGTTATCAGAGCAGCTTCACTAAAAGATAACAAGAATAAGGAGCTCCAGGTAAAGCATGATATTTATAAAGTATCCTAAATTATGACAAGTTAGGGTTTAATTCACAATCAGATGCTAAATTGCTTTTACTCAGCTGTCAAATGTTTAGTTTTCATAATGCGCGCGTTTTTAAAAACAGTTTGTATATTTACTTCATCCGTAACGTGATCATTGGCTGCTTTCCACTACCCTGATTTTCAGTTTAATATAGGTCTTCAATGTCATCACGGATTGCCAAAATATATCTATGTTATTATTTCCGATTACCTACATTTGAAGCATAAAGCAATGAAGAATTAAAAACTTAGAAATGTCAAAAATCGAGAACTGCGTGACGTGTTCTAATGTATAAATATTAGTGTACAGATATAAGTTAAGTTAATTAAACGTATTAATACTTAGGCCGAATTAACTAGATTAAGCATTATATGTGACGAAAGTAAACCAGAATGTTACCGCAGCTTTATTAGTTGTCGATCTTCGGTGATATTCAATTTTAACGGTTATAACCCTCTTCAAAAACCCTCAGACGTACAACTGCCCCTCTGTACGTAAACAGAACATTAATGGCATATGAAACCAACACCCATCGTCCCTCTATAATTATTTTACACTTATATGTAGGTACATAGTGCGATTCTCTAAAGGTAGCGTTGTCGGACCCGGATCCCGGTCTTCGATTTACACTCTTCGGATGTCGGTGTATACTCTATTATATCGTTCTTATCTTTAAGACTGGTCGATTTAACATTTATTCTGCTTCTCGGAAGCTTTGAACAGTTATTACTTGTCTTAAGTCAAGGTAATTTGACATACGTGACAATAAATCAGCTAAACATCGTCTAATTCTTTTGCAATAGGCCTATTTATTGTTCGTTTCAAAATTGTTTTTACAGCCTACACAAATATTGATGTTTGTCTCCTGTAAATATCATCCATTCATGAACGAATGTTTAGTAGATTCTACTCCACTTGAGCTTTTATAGAGGTTATGAAAATAAACATATCCGTCACCAGTTGTGAAGACAAGCTCTTGATTTCAAGTAAAATGTTTTATTAATCTTACTATACCCATATACATATGTTTTGCAGCAGTACTTAAAAGGTCTATTTTACCGCGACAATCTCACGTTACATTATTGTGTAATTATGGTACTACACCTTGATACACTGCAGTAAGTCTTTGTATCCATCTCCTTGTCACGTCAATTGTCAATGAATTATACACATTTTTGTATTAAACGATATCCTAATGGTTATTGCCATCATTACGGTCGGCCAGCTCATTCGTCAATATTTTTGTAAAACGATTTGCTCAGTTTTTACTAGGAGAAGCGTTGAAAGTAAAAGGTGACAGAGCTATGGACAAATGCCTTTGTTTATCGAGAGATTTGGAGGTATTTGGGTTTACTTGATAATTATAATTTTGCTACTTTATCTGTACGCGACGCTACGTGATATATACCAATAGTCTACTAGTATTTATTAGTTGCAGTAATAAAGCAACACCGCCTTCCCGTCTATTATATTAATGTTAGCGTTTGTCACGTAGTATACTTCCGCAATTACGTTGAAGCAATGACTAACCAGTCGATTTGTTTACATCGGATAGCCATCCATCGGGTTATGTATATGTATATGTATGTGTGTACATATATGAAACGGTTCAAAACCGAATGCACATGGCGCTAAGTTCGTCGACCCCGCTCTCACCGCGGCGTTCGATGCACCGGCCGCGCGTTCCGACTGTACCGCGCCTCGGAACTCTCCCGACTCGGGCTTCGCTCCACAGAAAATAAGAAAAAAAAACAAATCATAAATGTCCATTGCGTCCGCGCCAAGAATCTCGTTCTTGTTCGATTCTATTTAAAATACGTAATGTTCTGCTGGTGCTGTATGATATTATTAACAAAGACTTTATTCGTTTTTACATGCTTGAAAAGTTATTTTGTTTCTTAACTGTTTCGTTAAAAACATCAACTCATCGTTTCACCTACGATAAATGTATACAGATTCCTATAGGAATAGGGCATCGACATATGACAGTGGGTTTCCATTGCTGAAAGACCTCAAACAAAATTTAATTCTCGTGTTTTGTCTTCGAGAATGAGTAAACAACAATCAACACAATAAAGACATGCGTTTCGGCAGTGGAATACCACGGTAACGTATTTGTGTGATACTCTGTTACCACTTATGCCTAGTGTTGTTCCCCTAGTGCTTAGGTATCAAATAGATAGATCGGACTATCATCCTTGCAACTCCTTCTATTGTATTAATGTCTAAAGTCTAAACTTCTTGTATTTGGTATCATTGTTTATGCTAGTAGTATTTTAGTACCATAGAAATTTTTAAGTAAGATTTATTCCACTATATTTCAATATGTTTTTAAAACTAATTGTTTCATTGTAACCAATCTACTATTGTATTGCAAGAGTCATGACGTATATCTCAGGGTGCGGAGTCCGGTCGCCTGCAGTGCTCAGTTATAAATAGCCAACATATCTTCGTAACACTGCACCGCTCTCCCACCAAGACTGAGAGAGACCAGTACGCCCAGCTCGGTAGACCAAGTTGTCTAACGTTGTAGGATAATTCCAATCCCGAATGCGAGGTTAAAATTCCGCTTGTCCTCTTGTCTTGTTAGTCATGGTTGTTGTTCGGAAATTTACGTTTTTATTTCCCTCGATTTCGACGGTCCTGGTCACCCAAATTTAAGGATTGTCTCTACAGATTTAACAGGTTTTTTAATTTTTTCATAAGTTGAAGTTGAATAGGCTGAAATAGCGAAGCAATATCCGATTTTGCAAATGCGTTGCCTACGTTTATTATACGGAGGGCAGCGCGCAAAGAAAGATGATGTATCCTTCACATGTGTCTTTTTCCCATCCTTTCCTTATGGGTAAACATTTGGAAGGGTAAGGGTACTAAAATTAAATAATTGAAAATATTGGACACAGGTTTATCTAAAAAGAAGTTTAGTTACCTTTATGCTGCCAAATATGTGTTCCCTGGTGTATGTATTATATTTGTACGCAACACAAGCTAGTTACGCACAATACAAGTATGCACGTATATTTGTTTAGATTACCTACTGGTTGCCGAATTGGAGCAGCTTCTCTGGGAACTATAACTGGTTATCTAGCGCATTACATCTGGCGCCCGCCGGCAGATCATGTATCGCGTTAATTGACGATGTGTAGAAATATCTTTCAGTAACGCCGTGTTACAAAAGTATAAGTAACAGTTGTATTGTATTTAAAGACGGCACAGAATAATAGGTCGGTTCCAAACTTTAACCTTAATTGTTTCAAATCGTATAAGTTTTGTCAATTACATTTTGAAGTTAGTTTTAAATCATTGTAGCACAGTTAACTTTAAAGTATTGAATTATTTTATCAATGTGGTGATGGGTAATATATTCTATACTTCTGTACAGATGTATAAATAGAACTAAAATTTTTGTTTAAAAAAAACGAACGTTTCGTGGTGAACGTTGATCGATCGTCATTGATGAGCCTGGAATTTTAAATAATAAATATTAATAGAAAATCAATTGGTCATTAATTGTGACCAGTCCACTATCGTTTCTCTTATAGTACACGTGTTTTTGTATCGGTCACGTGTTAGCGTTTAAATGCTTCTTTCCTCATACGTTAGCTGATAAACGTAATGTGTGACTGATTACACTAAGTAAGAACTGTTCCCAGTATTTTATGTTTACTGAATGTACATTTTACTAATATTATAAATGAGAATGTTTGGATAGATGTTTGTTAGAAGGTATCTCCAGAATGGCTGCATGGATTTCGATGAATTTTGGTATAGATGGAGAATATAGTCCGGAAGAACACTAAGTACTAAGTTTTTTTTCATTCCGCGCAGACAAAGTCAGGGGCGACTGCTAGTTTTATATACAAATATAAACAGTTGTAGTTTAACTACATGATAAGTAATAGTTAATTAAGTCAATATCTAATTACTTTCTATAATACATTCCATTAGATTGCCATTTGAGAACCTATATTTTGCTACTTACCAAATTTAATTTTCGTGTTTGAAAACTCATAAATGCAAAAATGAGTTTGTAATATGCACAAAGTTGTTCGCCCAAAGGATATAATGAAACCTATTCAGGAGTACATAAAACTCCAAATTATTAAAACGCAGTTTGTTAAGAGAAATTAATTCATATCCCTTTGGTGTTTTAGGCTGCTGCGAAAGTTTCGAATTCCGAGAGATTGAGGTAAATGTAATTAAGTAATCGGCAATGTTTTTAGTACGTCCTTGTTTGAAGTGTTACGAAATCGATTGAAGTGTTTCGAATTGGGACCAAATAGAATACTTTAATCAGCACAAAATCATCCAGCTGATATCTGTGTTGTGCAAGAGCGTCGTGCACAAAGATCGCGAGGGCGATGGTGGAAGTAGGTCGCAGGGGTGAGAGCGCGGCGCGGGGGGAGCCCTTAGGCCACTTATCAACCGAGCGAGCCGTGCCGCGGTAGGCGAAAGCCACTCTACAAATTTTTTGGTGCCAACTGTACTATTTGTTTCGTTTCGTAGGTATACTGCAATACAAAATATGAGATGGTTTGGATGGATAAATGTTTATTACTAGGTAACTCTAGAAGGGCTGAGGGGATCTGCATTAGGAACAGAGATATTTTACAATCTGATATGACCCATACGCTATTATCTCAGTTTTGTAACGGACAGCTAATATGTTTAAATAAATACTTTTTTTTCCTCTAGCTGGAGTCTTTGTTAAATACTTTTGTACAATTGTCTCCTCGATACTTCGAATATCAGTTTTTATTTGGAAGTTAATTACTCATTGTATTTTAACAATATATCGATAAATCCTTCCCAATGACTTAAACAAGAAAGTAAGTCTGACCAGTTAAAGATCAAGTTTTTCTCTCGTCGTGTAATTGCCTTCGTGGATCTTTCAGAGAAACGAACATGGTGTATTATACCAAAGTAAATACTTTATTATTGTCCTTAACTTA